TGTGCCGTGTGGGTCACCTCCCTGGCTAGGGATTGAACTCTTGCTTCAGTGGCTGCGGATTGCTTCACAGTGCTGAGTCTTAACCCCTTGCACCACCAGGGAGGCCCCAAATTCAGTTCATTTTTTAGATAAGAAGCATTTAAAAAGTGATGTCATACAATAAAGTATACCACCAGGCTGCCCTTCCTTTGGTAATGCTGTGTTCGGAGACTGAGTTCAACTCATGTGTCATAAATTTCTCAATGGTAAAGTCACTTCCTCTTTTTGCAATTAATATATAAACTATGGGGTAACCCTTGGTCACCATCAAACATTCTGTTCCTGAACAACATTTCACTTAATGTTTTTACCATCTGTTATGGATTCTTCTCTCAATTGTTTTATTTATTTAATTTTAAAGATTTATTTATTTATGCACACAGGAACTGGGGTACAGGCCAGAGGTGTTGGGGGTGTGAGAGGATTCACCAGAGACAGAGTGGGGAACAGGACAGGCAGACTGACTGCAATACACTGCTGAGGGGAGCAGCGGGCAAGGCAGGAGAGGTCTGCTGTGCCATGTGGGTTGCTCCCTGGCCGGCTGGGGATTGAACTTAGGCTGCAGAGGCTGCGGACTGCTTCATAGTGTGTTGCTTAACCCCTTGCGCCACCAGGGAGGCCCACTAAGTTTTATTTTTAAATTTGTTTTTATTATAATAGTTAGACTGTAAATGGATTTTTCACTTCATATTTATAAGTACTTTTACATATACCACTTTATCCAATACTTACAACATTGCAGGTTATCACATCATCCTGCTTCATAGTATTCTAGGTGTGTGAGTATAAAATTATTGGTTGTCTATTAAATAATAACCATGGTTGGTATAAATATTTTAATAAGAGATGCTTGACATTGTACTTAGGTGCAAAACTCAGTTTTATAATTGATAGCAATATCTTTTATCGGTTGTTGTTAATACAGTATTTGTCATCCCTTTCAAACCTTGTGCCATCAACTTTCCCCATGTTGCCTGGAGAGGTACAGAAAAAGGTATAGGGCAGAGGAGATATGGGAGAAAGAACTATGGGTGGTGGAGATGTCCTCTTCTCATGGCAGAGGATGAGGAAGGACACCATCAGGGAAAGAGCACCATGGCCACTGAGAGGACAAAACACAGAATGGCGAAGGAGAAGAGCTGTGGCCTCAGAGGAGGGTTCCTAACCACGGATGAGGCTCCTGAACTGGGTCCCAGTTCCAGCCCCAGATTCAACCCCCCTACTGCTGTGATAGCCCCACCCCCAAGGAACTTGGCTAATAGCAATCTCTTTTGTGTTAGTTCAGAATTTCCAAGGAGTAGATGTCAAATAGGGTTAGACTCCCAAGAGATTCACAGAGAAAACAGCAGGAATAGAAGATGGGGGAGGAAGGTGGAGGAGGCTGGGAGAGGGTCAGGCCTACGTGGAGGACAGAAGGAAGACTCCACAGGAAAAGTCTTAGTGCAGTGCAGTTCTAAGAAAGTTCTTACCATGCTGATGAATTGTCCTTGAGCCAAAATCGCCTGTCAGAGGAGTCCCACATCTGAGTACAGGCTACCTGGAAGCACCCAACGGGAAGTCGTGGTGCCCCAACACACTCCTGCAGATGGAGATCCAAGAGGCACATCCTCATGGCCACTCAGCCACTCCCTTGCACTGCACAATATGCTTTTCTACAAAGGCATCTAAGTGTGATCCTTTGGGTTCCACACATGTTGCCCCCTTGTTCCATTGTGTAATGGTTACTTCTCCTTTGGCTGATCAAGGTCAATGACCCCTGCCAGAATGGTGGCTCCTCTCATTGGCAGGATGCTGGTGAAGAGCTCTGGCTTTGTAATTCAATGGGATCCTAATTGTGTCCCTGGCAAGAGTGCAGCTCCTCTGGGGACCAGAGCCTGTAATCTTGCAGTGCCCAGAATTTCAGAATTGGGAAGCACTCAAGTGTGGCAGGGGAGGGATGGTGATGGGCCACTCCTGCTTTCACTCTTTCATCCTCAGATCCAGGAACACTTCTGGGTCTGCTGGGTGATCATCTTGTCTGGCTTAGCTGACCTAGCAGCCCAGTCTCACTTTGCATCTCTCCTGCTTTATCTCTTAATTCTGTCTGCCACATCAGGAGTAATTTTGCCCCTTAGGCTGCCCGGAAGTTCTTACTACCAAGTCCCTGGCTTCCTGCCCTAGAATGTCTAGGGTGTTCCAGTCCTGCAGGAGCACAGGAAGCTCAGACCACCACCTATCTAAGATTTTAGGTCTCGTATTACCAATGTGCCATGACCTTTGCCCAGACAATGTGTCACATAACAAGAATATGACCATCTTCAGGAGGAGGGGCCTCAGGCTGAGTTTATCTATCCTGTCTAAATCTCATGATGCTAGAGCTTTGGTTACAGTGTGGTATTTTGATAGGATATACTGAGAGACCTGGTGGAATATTTTATTCGTTGTTTGTTTTGAATGGGTAATTATGCACAGGGTTCAAAATCTAAAAGGCACAAAGCAGTATTCAGTGAAAAACTTACCTCCTATCTTTATTTTCCAGCCACCTAAGTCCCGCTTTCAAGACACAACACATGTTTTCAGTTTTTCTGTTTCCATAACACACACACATATATCTTTTAACCAGATGGTAAAACACTGTACACATTTTTTCTGAACTTTGTTTGCATGGTTTAAAAAAATCTAGAAATTTTAGAGATCGTTTGAAGTCATTCTCTAAGGAGAGTCCTCATTCTATTTTTCGCTAGTGCTTTGTTTTATGTGTGTGTAAATGTACCACAATTTCTTTGCTAGTCTACCAATCAACCAACAGTAAGCTTTTTTCTAATCTTTGAGATAACAAATAGGGTTATGGTGAATTGTGTACATTCCAGGCATGTGAATGTATTTGTAAGACAAATTCTTAGTGGTGGAAGAGTTGGGTCAAAGGGTGTTTACATTTGAGAAAAAAATGTTACATCACCTTCTACAAAAATTTTACAAGTTAATCTGCCCCCAATGTTTCTGTTTCTACAGAGTTTTGGCAACACAGAGTGTTAACAACCCTTTGTAATTGTTGCCAGTATGAAAGAATAAAAAAATAGTAGCTCATTCCATATGATCTAGCAATTCCACTCCTAGGTATTTACCCAAAGGACACAGAATCATTAATTCAAAAGGGCACCTGCACCCCTATGTTTATAGCAGCACTGTTTACAATAGCTAAGCTATGGCAACAACCCAAATATAGATGACTGGATAAAGAAAATGTGGTACATATACACAATGGAATATTACTCAGCAATCAAAAAAGATAAACTCAGGCAATTTGCAGCAACAAGGATGGAGCTGGAAGAGATCATGCTCAGCAAAATAAGCCAGAAAGAAAAAGAAAAATACCAGATGGTCTCACTCATAGCAGGAATTTAGAAAACCTAAATAAGGGACAAAGAAAAAGACTAATTATGATAAAGTAAAAATCAAAATCAACAAGCAACTATAAACCAGAGACACACCACGGAGGGGTGGGGATGAAGAGGGAAGGGGAAGAGAGATTAGGGTCAAAATAAGCGGGGTGGGAATTGTATGGGGCCTATAACCAAGATGAAAATGTACGCATTGTGCAAAAATGAAAAATGATGTAAAAAATATTCAAAATAAAATAAAATAAAAAAATTAGTAGTTTAGGGCCTTCCCAGTGGTGCAGCGGTTGAGCGCTGGGTTGTGAAGCTGCCCGTAGCTTCTGAAGCACTGGTTCAATCCCCAGCTGCCAGTGAGGGTCCCACATTGGCGCGCAGACCTTTCCTGCTGCCCGCTGCTCCCCTCAGCAGTGTACTTCTTTGTCAGTCTGTCTGTTCTGTTCCCTGCCCTGGCTCTGGTGAATTCTCTCACCCTCCTGTGCTTCTGACTGTACCCAGTGCTTGTATAAATAAATAAATAAATCTTAAAAAAAAAATAGTAGCTCAGTGTTGTTTTAATATGTATCAATAATAGGGCCTCCCCTGGTGGCACAGCAGTTGAGCGCTGGGCTGCAAAGCTGCCCACAGCCTCTGCAGCGCAGGTTCAATCCCCAGCTGCCGGTGAGGGTCCCACATGGCGCACAGACCTCTCCTGCTGTGCCGGCTGCTCCCCTCAGCAGTGTACTTCTTCAGTCTGCCTGTTGTGTGCCCCCTGCCCCCCTGCTCTGGCTCTGGTGAATTCTCTCACCCCCCCACCCCCCGCACTTCTGACTGTACCCAGTGCTTGTATAAATAAATAAATAAATAAATAAATCTTAAAAAAATATGTATCAATAATAGCCACATGACATTGCTGCTTTTAGGTAAAAATATTGAATATCAACAATTTGATGTGTTTTTATTTTTCTCATTGTAAAACCTAGCATTTTTTATTTTGAGTCATTTGCCTATAATTTTCTTTTTAGTGCTTTTACTTTAAAAAAAAATTTAAATGTATTTTATTTTTAGACAACCTGTAAGACAATCTTTACTTAAAATTAATGCCTTCCACTCCAAATAAATCAAGGTCACACTAAATGAAGAGCTCAGAATGACATCAGGCCCAGTTGTCTGTCCTGGTGTGTGAATGAAAAGCAGCAGCCAGTTATGATGACAAGTTTGTTGCTGTAAAAACAACATAAAAACAACAAAGATTGTATTAAAGCTTTTCTTTTTTTTTTTTTTTTTTAAGATTTATTATTTATTTATTTATACAAGCACTGGGTACAGTCAGAAGCATGGGAGGGTGAGAGAATTCACCAGAGCCAGAGCGGGGAGCAGAGCAGGCAGAGGGACCAAAGTACACTGCTGAGGGAGCAGCGGGCGGCAGGAGAGGTCTGTGCGCCATGTGGGGCCCTCCTCCGGTGGCCGAGGAGCAGCCAGGGATCGAACCGGCGCTGTAGAGGCTGCGGGCAGCCTCGCAACCCAGTGCTCAACCGCTGGGCCACCGGGGAGGCCCTGTATTAATGCTTTTCAAATAGTAAAGCACTTAACATTTCTAAACTGCATTTGTATATTCCCCTAGTCAGTCTAGGCTGCCACATAGTGCAGAAAGTGCAGGGATTTTTGTTCCCATTTGCATCCTAGTGCAAGTCTAAACAACAGCAGCAAATTATTTAAGGTCTATCAGTGGATGCAGCTTTTGCCATTTTATTTGTTTGTTTGAAGGTTAGTCTTTATTGATTTATAGACACTCTGATAGGGGAGAAATTAAGTTCCTTTTTTGATTTTCTGAATTTAACAATTATTTTCCCTGTTAGTCTTCTGAATTTGCTTACAGCTGTTTTCACTATCAAGAATTAAAAAAAAAATTAGCTTAATTTATCAGTTTTAAATTTTATGGCTTTTGGAGGCCTCCCTGGTGGCACACAGAGTAACATCTCAGTGCTGTCAGGCTATGGCTGGCCACTTTGGAATGGATTAAATTCCTGGCCAGAGAGCTGGCCTGTGGGGCGCAGCAGACCTCTCCTGTCTCGCCTGCTCCTCCTCTCAGCAGTGTATTTCAGTAAATCTAACTGTTCTGCTTCCCACTCTATTCTGGTGAATCCTCTCACCCCCAACACCTCTGGCCTACACCCCAGTTCTTATATGCATAAATAAATAGAAATAAATCTTTAAAAAAATTTTTTATGGCTTCTGGATTTGGGTCACATTCAGAAATACTTTTTTTCCCTCCAAAATTACATAGGAATTTTCTTGTGATTTTTTTTCTTTTTAAAAAAGTTTTTGCATAGAAGAACTGGGGTGCAGGCCAGAGGTGTGGGGGTAGGGTGAGAGGATTCATCAGAGACAGAGTGGGAAGCAGAACAGGCAGCTCCACTGAAATACACTGCTGAGGAGAGCAGTGGGAGAAATAGGAGAGGTCTGCTGAGCCATGTGTGGGTTAGCTCACTGTTCAGGGATTGAATCTAGGCTACGGAGGTGACTGTCTTGAGATCCAAACCCTAGGTCACCTGGAAGACCCATAATTTTTTCTTATTCTGTAGCAGGTAGAATGGGCAAAGTCATTTCCACTGTTAGTTATTTTGGAATGGGTTGCTCTGGGAGGGAAACCTCAGGAGCGTGATATCTGCCTCTCTTCATTCCAACTCCTGATTTAAGGGTACCCAGAGGGGGCCTTCTGGGTATTTGAAATTAAGCTGACATACGCTGCATGGAGATAGGCTGGGGCCAAGATTTATGGGAACCAGGTAAGAAGCCACAGAGAGTACCTGTGGGGGGACCAAGCTTGCAAGTCCCTTGGCTCTGCTAGCCGCACTAGGGTTGGTGTCTTTCTAAGCCACCTCTAAGTACTCCCAGGTGTGCTCCAAATGTACCGCAACACGCTGCTGCAGTCTGGCAGGGAACCCTAGGAGGAACTAAAAGATGGGATCCCTGGCTTCTGCACACCCAGTGCTCTTGCAGACCTGCTGAGTTCGCCCTGACTTGGTCACATTCTGTCCTTTCTGTTAATTGTGCACCTCGAATGACCAAGAACCTGTCCCAACTTCTCCTCATTCCCTGTGGAATACTTGTTCTTAAATACTTGTCCTGTCCTAAAGTGCTGAGGCAAACAAAGCAGAATCTCTGGGATCCTGTCGCTAGAAGCTGTGCAATTGTTAGGGGGAAAGGATGTCCTGAGCTAATTCCATGCAGGCTTTGTGGACTCCACCCTCACTCCAGACCAAAGCCATCAAGACATTGGGAAAGACAAATCCCATCACCACCAAAGGGAAGGTGGCTGGGACCTGAGGGTGGAGTTAAGCAGCCAGGTTTGGTATAAAAACCAGACATGTGGGCCTTGGGGGGCTCGCTCTCTCCTCGCTTCCTGGCTTCACAGCTCCTGGCTCTCGGCCAGCTCTCAGAGTGCCATTTTGGGATTCCTGATCTGCGGATCGGGTAGGACTCATTTAAAACTTTGTCTCCCACTTTTCTCCCTGAGCTGTGCATTTCCTCATTTCCCCTTCCCTTGTAAATAAACCTTTTTTTAACCTTTCGTGTGTGCCTGCAGTAGAGCATTGATAAGCCCTTTTAAGCGTGCAGGTGAGGACCCAGTCAGGCAACCCGTTTTGTATCGGGGCTGCCCTATAACACTATGAGAAGACATCTCCTAGGGGTGCCCAGAGCAGACTCCTCCCTGCTCGCATTCTTCAAGGCTTTTTGTGAGAGCCTGGGCTTCTACCCTCTCCCTCCCTCCTTCCCTCCCTCCCTTCCTTTCTCTTCATTTTTATTTAATTTATTTAGCTATTTTAAACAAAGTTTTATTCATTTACCAAACTATATAACTTTTGGGGAATGTACATCATAACCTCTTTGTGTGTATAAGCCTCACCTCCCCCACCACCAAAGTTCTCTTGACTTTCCCATTCTCAGGCTAAGGATGTCTGCTGTTCCCTCCCTTCCCCCTCTCCTCTCTGTGGTAACCATTTTATTTCTCACAGACTTGTAACAGGGTGGTCCCCAGGGATTGGGCAGGTTCCAGGTTCCCTGCCCCACCCTAAAGAAGGGTGGAGCTGGGCAGAGAGAAGAAGCTAGAGAAGAATAGGAAAAAGCTGAAGATCAAGAAGGAGACTTGGGGGAGGCACAGTGAGCAGAGAGATGTCTGCAAAAGCTATTTTAGCTTCTTGGTCTTGGACTTGTACCAGGGACTAGGGGGACATGGAAGGACATGCTTGAAGCTGATGTGGGTGAGAGGTCTAAGGGGAAGCTGACAACAGCAGCTTTTATCTTGATGTTGATTTTGCTCTTTTCCTTCCAGATTTGCTTGGCCCCTTCCCTTATACCTCTTTCCTATGGGTCCCAATCAGAAGGTGCCTTAGGCTTGTGGCAGGCTTTTGCACCTCAGCAGCCCTGCTTTGATCCAACCCTGTTGGGCTCGCATTTACCTAAGAGGGGATGAGTAACTTTGGGTGCTTGATTTGAAAACTATAGTCTTTCTTTTTCTCTTCTCTTTTCTCTATTGCACACTAATTATATTAAATTTATTTCTATTGAAGGGCTTATGCACTAGAGTGTGTTTTTTCTTGATATGGTGAATGGCATAACCCATTTAGAGCAGACAGGTTTGGGGATTCCTGGGGTTCTCCTCACCCTGCCTTGTAACAGACTCAGTTTTTTTTCCTTAAATATTTATATATTTATGCATACAAGAACTGGGGTATAAGTCAGAGGTGCGGGGGGTGAGTGGATTCACCAGAGACAGAGTGGGGAACAGAACAGGCAGATTGACTTAAGTACACTGCTGAGGGGAGCAGCGGGTGAGTCAGGAGAGGTCTGCTTTCTGGCCGGCTGGGGATTGAACTGGTGCTACAGAGGCTGTGGAGCGCTTCATAGGTTGCGACTTAACCCCTTGTGCCACCAGGGAGGCCCAGACTCAGTTATTTTTGATGTGATATGTTACATTATTTCCTTTGGTTATTTAGAGTCTGCATTTCTTTTTTTTTTTTAAATTGAGAAATGTTCTGTATATAAAAGATACACAAGTTTTATGAGTTTTTGACTTTTAGAAATGAGTACACCCTTAGAACTCAGATGCCAGTCAAGACACGGAACTTTTCGGTCATCATAGATAGATCCAGTGTGAACCCTGTTGATTACCCTCCTCCCGCCACAAATCCATTATTCTTGTATCCTATAACCTTTGCTTAGTTTTGCTTGTTACAAAACTAAGAAAAAAGGAACTCATTTGGGATAGCTTCCTTTACTGAGAACATTTTTTGAGGTTCATCCACGTGGCTATATGTATTCATAGTTCCTTCCCTTTTATTGTACACTGGGAAATGTAAGTTCATAGTAATGAATTCCTGGAGATATAACCCCATAGGAGTAATAGAACAATCAATATAATCACAATTTGTTTATCCACCTATCTACTGATGGACATGTGAGTTGTTTCTAGGTTTGGGTTATTACAAGTAAAGTTACTATCAACATTTTCGTACAATATATGAGGTCATTTATTTTTATTTTTTAAAAGATTTATTTATTTATTTATTTATTTATTTATTTATTTTTTTTATAGAGGCATGCTTTATTTATTTGTTTGCTGGTTTGTTTGTTTGTTTTGTTTATACATGCACTGGGTACAGTCAGAAGCGCGGGAGGGTGAGAGAATTCACCAGAGCCAGAGCGGGGAGCAGAGCAGGCAGAAGGACCGAAGTACACTGCTGAGGGGAGCAGCGGGCGGCAGGAGAGGTCTGCACGCCATGTGGGACCCTCCTCTGGTGGCCGGGGAGCAGCCGGGGATCGAACCGGCGCCGCAGAGGCCGCGGGCAGCTTCGCAACCCAGCGCTCAACCGCTGCGCCACCGGGGAGGCCCCAAAAGATTTATTTTTTTATGCATATAAGAATTGGGGTAGAGGCCAGAGGTGTGGGAGGTGAGAGGATTCACCAGAGACAGAGTGGGGAACAGAACAGGCAGATTGACTGAAATGCACTGCTGAGGGGAGCAGCAGGTGAATCAGGAGAGGTCTGCTGTGCCATGTGGGTACCTCCCTGCCGGGGGATTGAACTTGTGCTGCAGTGGCTGCGGATTACTTTATAGGTTGCATCTCAACCCCTTGCGCCACCAGGGAGGCCCCTGAGGTCATATATTTTGATTTCTCTTGTTTAATACCCAGGAGTAGATTTGTTAGGACTTCACTTAAGCGTATAAAGAACATATATGACATTTGACATATATAAATATATAGTTTATATGCCGCTGAAGCAAACACATCATGTATAAATATATATGATCTATTATATATTATATGTAATATTATATATATTTATATATATATATGCTAAACTTTTTTTGGGAAGAGAAAAGGGAGATTTATTAAAATATACTGCTGAGAGGAGCAGCGGGCCTCCTGTGCCTACATGCTTAACTTTACACATATTTATTTATATATATTTTTACATAGAAAGTCACATACATAAACAACCTGCCGTATGTTATATGTGACATTTGACATAAATTATGTATATCTATGCATCACATAAACATATATTTATATACATTCATATAGATATGTATGTGTACAATATACACAAATAGATTTGTACATATAAGTTTATGGATGTATTTGCATGTTTTATATATGTATATATTGATGTTACATATAGAGTCATATATCATAAACACAACCTGTCAAAAATTGTTTTCCAAGATGGTTA